TTCCTCGCGGCTTTTCAACAACCCTCAGGTGGCCCGCGACATCCAAAGGCGGTGTTGTATGAGCTAGTCTAGCAGGAGCATCACCCACGCTCCCCACGCCTCCTCCTCCGCACCTCACGGGGGTGTGACGCACGGCTATAAATGAAAGACCAGGAGAGTGACAATGAAGGCGAGAGGGGAATATTAACCTAGCTAGAAAACGAGTATGGCACGTGCGTCTTAGAAGCGAAACGGAGAGGTTTTGGGTCTACAATCAGAGCATACTGTACCAACACGAAGCAAACATGTCGGACCTTGCGAACATCGAAGCTCGAAAGCTCATCCGGAGAATTTCATCCGGAAAGGCGTAAGTACATCCTAACGCGTCGTTAATATTAAGGATTACATGTGTCACGCAAGGGCCAGGTATTTTGAAGTCTGTGTTACGTATTTTGAAGTGAGGTTGCGACGTATTTCAACAGGTATGTTTTCTTCGTGTTGACTGGCATAGGGTACTAGAACGCTGTTGATTTTATTAGTGGAAAACTAGTTTGAATGATAGTTTTATCGATATCTACACCTTTCCTTAACGATGTGTAGAGTAACTGGGGGTAGAAGGCATTAAGAGAAAACGTAGTTAAACTGTTAAAGGTACCAATCGTTTTAGGAAATGTTGAAGATGGAGGAAAAAATGCTTATTTGGAAGTAGCCATGTATATGCAAAGATATTACGTGTATATATGCTTGTCTGCGTTTCCAAGTATATTCGTTGACATGTAAGTGTTTGGACAGAACAAACTTAGACAGCTTTTACATGTTTTTGTTTATTTGAAAAGGTGAGACCACCTGACAGCTTCGAAATATATTCGACTGTGTATAGTTGAAGAGAACATATTGACAGAGCTAAGTAAAAGAGTTAGACTATTTGAAATCTCTCTTTGGCAGCCTGGTTCGCGAACATCTGGTTCATGTGGAGAACCGGTTATTTGAGATGTTCGGTGACAAGGAGAACCAGACCATTAACATCAACAAGTTCTTGATGGTGAGTTTCGAAACCCAAGTGAGGAAAATGTACCACTGAATATATATATATAAGATTCTACCCACATGATAGACTCAGAGTATGATTGTCATATTTGTAGTATATTTGTGTAGATATATCTTTTTTTTAGATAGATAGATTATGTTTTAGTATGATGAGTCAGATTTTTTTTTAGAAGGATGAGTCAGAAAGATCTCATTTTTTTTAGTATGATGAGTAAGGTAGATTGTTTTTAGTGTGATGAGTAAGATTTTTTTAAGTATGATGACTCAGATAGATCTCAATTTTTTTTTAGTATGATGAGTAAGATAGATTTTTTTAAAAGTATGACGTGTCAGCTATATATCTTTATCTTTAGTATGATGAAATAGAAACCACTTTGCTCACCTCGGCTCAAACATCCCAGACACTTAGCAAAACTAGGAGTCTTGAAATGTGAGATCTAAGTGTGAGAGTGAATGTCTTGACAGGGCCTGACAGCCACGGGACTAAGGCATTCCGACCAACGGCTGGCGGAGATGAGGAAGAATCTCAGGAAAGTCCAAGAAAGGGTCGCAGCATCCGATCCCCAAGCACTCATCGTCAATTATGAGACGTTTATGAGGTGAGTGTGAGGAGGATGTTGAGTGTGACGTTTGGTAACGTTGGTGCTTTTATCAATAGCTAATGATGGTGGTTGTGATTGTTGCTGCTGTTGTTATTATGGTGATGGTGATAATGGTTGTCAAAATGGTTTTGGTTTATATGGATTATTCTAATGCTTATGATAATGAATATTGAAATGTGATAAAGCTTATTGACTTGATTTAACAACAGCAGTGACAGTAGTAATGAAAATAACACTGCATGCCATTCTTCAAATACTAATTAGCCGACAGATCACATAGAGAGAAAATTAATAAAACCAAACGAAAACACACGTACAAAAAACGCAAATAAAAAAATACGTAAAGAAAAAAAAACAAAAAGAAAAAAAACAACGAAAATCATCAAATTCCCGTTTTCCTTTCAGCATCATATCGGAAAATCTTGAGATTGTCGTGAAGGCATTTTCCTCTTCCTTCGTCATCCCGGATTTTCGCGGATTCTGCCATCACATCGACGAAATCTACAACAACTGCAAAGGCAACACTGATGGCAAGGTGAGTGTTATGTGCGTGCGTGCGTGCGTGTGTGTGTGTGTGTGTGTGTGTGTGTGTGTGTGTGTGTGTGTGTGTGTGTGTGTGTGTGTGTGTGTGTGTGTGTGTGTGTGTGTGTGTATTTGCGTGCGTATGTATGTGTACAGTTTTTTTTTAATCATTATTATTTCTATATCACAAATATATATGTATATTTGTTTTTTTCCAATTATTATTACCATTTCTATTTCACAATGTATGTACATTTTTTATTACTATCGTATCCATATCACAAACACACCTATATTTTAAATTTTTATTATTATTATACCTATTTCTTGCATTTCGTTCTATACCACAA